CTTCTTCCTTCCAGGGGCCAGGCTGATCCAATGGAAGCACAGATTTGGCTACTCACCAGGAACTCCTTACCCCGCAGGGCAGCCCCCATCAGCTGTCCAATCCACTCGTATTTGGCAAAGTCTCGGCAGGAGGGGTTGGGCACGTACATGTCCCGGGCCTCCCCAGTGCCATTGCCCTGCTCCCAAGACAAGAGCTATTAGCATGGCATGGAATGGACCCTACTTTATTGCCCCAGACTCTCCAAAGACTTGCCTGCACACCTTCCACCGGAAGCCCTGAGTGGTCCCTCTGATTGTAAAATGGCTCCTCCTTCCCTGTCTGCCCAGAGGCCGCCCTAGGCAACCTGGTCCCTCCTCTGGCCCCTCTCTAGTTCAGCACCTGGGAGGTTTGCAGAGACGAACAGCAGAAACAACTGGAGAAGTAGGGATAGGAGATTACCTGGTTGGCTGTGCGCACAAAGAAGGGCAGAGGCACAGGGGTGTCTGCTGAGCTAGGGCACAACTCTTCTGACATGTCTGCCAGGCTATCCCGAAAACCACCCCCTGAAATGACACACAGATGCTCTCAGCTGGAGCATTCAAGAGCTCCAGCCCCCATAAAGAGGTAATAAACTGGTCCTCTATCTTGATTAGCTGTGACCCCAGAAGCCTCTACCACTCTACATAGGGCAGGACCCTCATTATCCTTCCCCAGGGCCTCACCTTGGTCAATGATGCCTTCTGCAATGAATTTACACTCCCACCACTGGTCATAGCGCATGGGCCACCTGTAAGAAGGGGTGGATCTTTGTTCCCATGCTGGGTCGGGGCTCAGAACATTTCACCAGCGAGAGATGGGGGCCACAGGAGTAATGACGAGGGGTTTTAGAGGCAGTGTGCGGGGAGGTATAGTTTATGTGTGCCCAGTCCAAGTCCCTCATCCTCATGCCATACCTGTAGTCCAAGGGCTTTTCATACTTGTCAGAGGGCTTGAGGCCTTCATAAACCTGGGGGCAGGGAAAGGGAAGGGAGCTGTAGGAAAGTCTGTGCCAAGATCTTGTCCTACTCTGGCCCGAAGGCCTTACTTAGGCCCAGCCCCCACCCCAGACCCTTTACTGACCCTCCCTTAGATCGACCCCAGGTGGTCCAGACCTGGGTGAACACTGCATTCTTGCAGGCAGGGTCCCTTAAGGGGCAGGCACGGTGCTCCATGGCGAGGCGCCGGTTGATGTACAGGCGTGGCATGAAGCTGGGCTTGCTGCTTTCCGAGTCCCGCAGGCACTGGGCCACCAGGCCTGGCCTCTGGCGTGACAGCAGCAGGAATTGCTTCACTTGCTGATGAGGAGATGTGGCCAGAGCAAGACTGGCAGGCAGTCAGTGTCTGTCCAGGCTCTGGAACCTTCTTCTATGCCTGGACCTGATTCCTAACTCTAGTCCATGCCTAGTCCTTCCCCAATACCCTCCCCTTCCTTGTCTTCAATCCCTCCTTAGTCCAGTCACCTGGGGGAGCTTTCTAAACACCGCCCCCCGCTCCAAATCAAACCTGGTTATCCCCTACTTAAAACCCTTCCAATGGCTCCAGGGACCTAGGACATAGTCCCTCCTTCACAGCCTGGCCCAAACTGCCCTCTGCTATCAGGGCCTCCTATTTGCCTACCCAGTCTCATCCCCAAGTTATACATACATCTACCTGGGGCACTTCTCTCGTCATCTTCGGCAGCTAATAACTTCCAGTGCACACCTTCCATGCAGCTTCCCTGTCTACACTGTTACTTCTCCTCCCCCAGTTTTTGTACATTTTACACACTATCTGGGAGAACGGCATCCCAAACACTACATTTTAACGACCTGTGTCTGGCTTTCTTCCTACGTTCCTAGAGCCCAACAAAGGTCCAGGCCTAGAGTAGCTTTTAAGAACCCTGTAGAAGAGAGAGCACTTGCATGAGCAGAAGGGAGGAGCCCACTGCTGACACCACTACTAGGCGGGCCAGGCTCACCTTAATCTCACTGAAGGTGCCCAGCGTGTGGTCCCAGGCAGGTACCAGGTGGTGCAGGACACTGTCCAGGATCTTTATGAATCTGGGGTGAGTGGGTAAAGATGGTGCAACTAAAGAGGATGGCATGAATTTAAGACTCCCTCACTCCCCAACACACAAGGATAGGAGAAGGTAGGGCTCAGGGGCTGCTCAAAGTGGAACAGCTTACAGTATAGGGCCTGGGGAACCTCCTTCCTACTGACGAATGAGGCTCAGGACTAGGGGAAAGGAAGGGCCGGGCAGGCACAGGACCACAGCCACCTCTGCAGGAGAACAGCTCTGCGGTACAGAATTTCAGGGTCCGTGCCTTCCAGACGTGGGTATCGCACCAGACTGGTCGGCTGGAACAGGTCTGCATTCAACCCTAGTTCCCGCTGTCTAGACGACTTGATCTTGATCCCTCGAAGACGCACATCAATCCCATCATCTGGGGGAAGAAGTTACTTAGGGCACCTGCTGCCTCCTTGGCCCTCAGATCTGAGAATGGCCCCTGAATGCTCAGGCTTTCAGAAACTTGGGACCTTTGAGACGCCTTTCTACTTATCTGACTTTGATTATTATATTCTTTGCGGGTTTCTCCATCCCTCACTATATTGCAAGGCCTGAGGATCCCAACTCTGTTCCTCTTCCAGATGAGCCCAACCACCTCTGCAGCTTTAAGGCAGGCCTACCCCTGGCGCCTCCCACGTGGCTCAGGCCCAAAGCTTCATCTCCCAGAGATAGTTCAACTATTCCCCTCATCCCAACTCCAAGCCCAATGCTTCTCCACACTCACTGCCAACTAGCCACTGTCTATACACTGGGGCTCCCTTTCCCTCCTTAGAGCCTGAAGCCCCACCTCGGCACTCGACGATGCGGATCTCGATGACTGGGAGGTGAACGGTCATGTCCTCCAGGACACACACATCCCCGATCAGGGTCCTGACGAGATGGATGAGAGGCACTCTGAGTACCCCTTGCCTTCAGGGATTGCTGGGCTCTCACTTGACCTTCTGCTTCCAAATGGGGCCAGGCCCCATTGCTAGGATCATGCCCCATTCTCCCTCCCAGACCAGCCTGTTCACTCACTCGTCAATGCTCACGTCACTCAGCTTCTTCAGGTTGTCCCCTTCGCCCCCATAGATCACTACTCGCTTAGGCATAAAGTTGTCATCTGTGGTATCCACTGTGAGCAGTAGCTTCCTGAGTGGTCAGAGGATGCACATGGGTCTGTGTACATTTACAGGCATGGGGCCCGCCCACTCTGTCCTACCTCAGAGCCCACTCACTTGACAATGGTGCCCTTTTTCATGGTAAGCCGTACCCAGTGCTGGCACTGGGACCCATCGCTCTCCCAGTAGGTGTCTGCATTGCTGTCTGTCAGGCAGGACACATTGAACTCCTCCTGGGGAGGGGCAGAGAAGTGGAGACAGTGTTTACCCCACTCCCTGCACATGGAGGCTTAAAAGCACGGCTGGTATGGGTGGAAGTGTCTAGGCATTCCCACAGGACTTCCGAAATGGGGTGCTGGACTGAGTCTGGCCTGTAGGAATTCAGGTTTGGCCCTGGCCTAAAGGTGAGGGCTCTGGATCTAGCAAGAAATGACCTCTTGCTTGGGGTGGGAGGAGTCCCAGAACCCACCGTGTAGGAGGAAACGTCTATGCTCTCCACATACTGCTTCACGCTACCCAGGTTCTCATCCTCCTTGCCCAGGTGGTCGTACAAGAAGTGGATCAGGTCCTCGTCGCACTCGTAGGTCCACGTCGGGGGCACATAGCTAAGCAACCCCAAGTCCCTAATTAGGCCAGGCCCAGACCTGGAGATTCTTCCTCCCTATCCCACCCCAGCTCACTCACAGTAATCTCTGTACAGCTTCCGTGTATGCCTCGGCTGGCTGGGGCCTTGATCCAAGGCGATGAGAGTATGTCAGGTCCACCACCTGTTCCCATCTGCCGGCACGGAGTAGGGAACGGGGAGACATCAGTGGGCAGCGGGGTACCCCCAGGGAGCTGTCTCCAGAGCTCCATCTCCACCAGACTGGGCCTCCAGAAGCTCCACCCCATCTCCATTCAGGTCCCGCCCCTTCCTGCCTTTAACCCTGCCTTCACTCCCTATCCCACCTCCGGGCCTGTGCCAGCTTAGTTCCCAACCCTTCTGGGCCGAGCTGATCGGCAGCAAGCCCCGCCCTTTCAAGTGCAGGACCTGAGCACCGGTCGGTAGTCCACGCCGAAGAGCTGTTGCTGCCGTTGGAGGTGGTCTGGAGTGTCGATGGGTACGAGGCGGGCCCCGCCCTCCGCCGGTCGGCACACCAGCAGCCAGCCTTCGTTCAACCCGCAGTCGCCCAGGTGTTCTGCCAGCTGCTCCTGCCGGGACGCGCAAGACAGAGACAGCCGTCTGGGAACTGCCCAGCGCCCTGCCCAGCCCAGCCCAAGGCAAAGGACACGGAACGCAGTGCTCCCTCAAGATGGGGGATGGGAAGGGAACGGCCTGGAGGTGCCCTGGCGCCAGGGGTCTTCTACGGGGCCCAGGGCAGGCCAGGGAGTACCTTGGTCAGCTTCACCCAGAGCCCCTGGCCGTTGCACAGTTCCTCGCCGGTAGTTCGCACGCAGGCGCCGCGCCGGAGCTCAATGCTGTCTCGGGCCGCACGGAGGGGCCCGGAGCCGGTACCAGGGGCGGAGCCCGCCGCTCCCACACGCAGCCCCAGGCCCTCCGCCTCCCACACGGGCAGCAACACGCGCGACGGACCCGCCGGGTCCTTGTAAAGCTTGTAGAGCACCTCGCGTGGCACGAAGGCCAGCGCCGCCGGCAGCGGCCGTCCAGCGCGGAGGCTCTGTGCTGCCTCTGCCAGGAAGCGCACGCGGCCCAGTAGCTGCCGCGGGGACTCTAGAGCCGCGCCCGGTCCTGGGCCTGCCATGGTGAAGTGGCAAAGGAGAGCCCAGGGGCGGCGGTTCGGCTCTCGGAGCCGCAGCCGCGAAGGCTGACCAAGCTTCCCACCACGCTCGGCCCCGCCTTCGGCCAGCCTTCGCCGTAAGTTCTGGACTAAGGGCACCCACGCGCCTGCCGTATTTCCCTGTGTACTCAGATACTTAAACTTACTACAAACCAATGTGCCTCGTACTGAGCCAACCAGACCCAAGTTCAGTTGTCTTTACCTGATCCATCTCTCTCTGTCCTCTTTGCTTCCACCATTTTATACCCTCATTGAACCGCCATCCTATCTAGGCTGGATCATTGGAACAGACATTTTTCTGGTTCTCTGACCCGTTTTTGCCTTCCCACTCCGACGAGTCACACTACATCCAGAAGACTCTTTAAAAATCTGATAGACATCCTCTTAGCTCCTCATCCTAGGGACAGTATTGCTAAAATATTTGGGAGAATAATCCCCTCCTCAGCCCTACCACTGATAGGAGCCTTGAGTCGTTCAGCGTTCATCCTGGTTGTTACTCCTAATCCTAGGACACTGGTGATCATTATCCAGTTTCTCCCAGTAATTCTGAACCAGATGAGAGGAAAGGTCCAATGCGGGAAGACAGGTCCAAGGTGGGTAGATAGGATGGAGGCAAAAAAAAAAAAAAAAAAAAATGGACAGGAGCTGTTGGTGAAGTATAAGGAAACTTTGTCTCCCACCCTCCCTGGCAAACAGTTTTTTAAAAAGTTTTTTTGAGATATAATTCATATTCCATATAAGTCACCCATTTAAAATGTATGATGGTTTTTTATATATTTTTAAAAACTGTAGTAAAATAAGCGTAAATTTGCTGAGTTAACCACTTTAAGAGTACAATTACCTATTTCCAAAACCTTTTCATCATTCCAAACAGCAGGGCTTTCTCTTTAAGCACTAACTCCTCATGGCCTACTCGATAAACTCTAATCTATTTTTCTGTCTCTATGAATTAGCCTATTCTAGATATTTCATAAATGGAACCATATAATATTTTCCTTTTGGGTCTGTCTTATTTCACTTAGAATAATATTGCAACAATATCATAGCATGAATAGAACTTAATTTCTTTTTATAGGTCGACTAATACTCTGTTTTATGTATACACTACATATCGTTTATCCGTTTATCTGTTATTCATCCGTTGATGGACATTTGGATGGAAATTTTGTTTTGATTTAGTTTTCAAATAATCAAAGTTATCAAGAAAGAAATAATATATGATCCCGTGTAATTTTGACGGTTTTCCTTTTATTTTCTCCTTAGAAAGCTGGGAACATAGTGCCCCTCTTCCCTTCTCTCCAAGCTATTTGTATGCTACCGTGCTACTACAGAATAAAGTGGACAAGTGAATCTCATAAGGGCATGCATGACCCGGACTCTGAAGACACCTCTAGCCTCTTTAATTCCAGCAGATGGGTCTTCTGGTTCCCACAATAGCCATTTGTTCTTTGGCCTCTTCTCTTTGCACCTGCTGTTCCCTCTATTTGGAACACCCCTACTGCTTTCCCCAGTTATAGGAAGAGCCCTTGCTAGCTACTTCTAGTTTTTTCCTCTTGAAACATTTACTATTATGATTGCTGATCCACCAGTCTGTAGCTCCTTAAAGGAAAGGGCTGTCTTGATAACCGCTGTTAACTTCTGCATCTACTATCGTGCCCGCCTCTTAGTAGGTAATATAAATACATATTTTAAAAAGACTTATTCTAGGTGGCTCAGTTGGTTAAGCAGCTGCCTTCGGCTCAGGTCATGATCCCAGCGTCCTGGGATCGAGTCCCACATCGGGCTCCTTGCTCATCAGGGAGCCTGCTTCTCCCTCTGCCTCTGCCTGCCATTCTGTCTGCCTGTGCTTGCTCTGTCTCCCTCTCTCTCTCTGACAAATAAATAAAATCTTTAAAAAAAAAAAAAAAAAACACTATTCTAAGGAGAGAGAGAGAGCTACCGCACTGTGCGCACACATGAATTCCGGGGAGCGGCAGAGGGAGAGAATCCCAAGCCAACTCCCAGAGGAGTGTGGGGTCCCACTGAAGACTCAGTCTCAGGACCCATGATATCATGACCTGAGCCGAAATCACAAGCCGCACACTTAACCAATTGAGCCACCCGGGTGCCCCGGTAACGTAAATATTTAATTATTTCATTTCCCTGTAGAGCTTGGTTCTTTAATCTACTGTGTGCCTGGTCGCTAGGCCTGATTGTTAGAATCATGGAGCATGGGAGTAAAAGTGAGTCTCGGCTGAAACTCTCGGATTTCCAGGCCATCAGAGAAGAGGAGATTCCTGATGCCACGGTAAGGTGTAGTTATTTGCGGAGTTCTTGGCGGTGGGGAGGGTAGGAGAGGGGTGGGGGCGTTTGTTGCTGCGACGCTACAGCGGATTTTACGGTGGATTTTACGGATTTTACGGTAGTCGGGGGTCCTACCGGCAGCACCCGGGGCAGCCCCGGAGCTAATGCCCGTGTCTGATCATGTGACTTTCAACATGGCGGCTGTCCTGACTCCCTCCAGGAAGGGGTGGAGCTTGATCTCACAGGCTCCGGTTCAAGTTACAGTGGGGACTGTGCTCGCAGTTACCCAAGGCTTATCATGGAGGCGAACGGGTTGGGGTGAGTTCTCTGCACCACTTGGTATGGCCCGCGTGATTTCTGACCTGACTCTTCCAATTCAGGAATCTGTTCCTATACCCCTCTTTCCCGACCTTGGAGAATTCCCAACCCGATTCCTGTCTCTGGAATCCCTAATCCTCTACACATGGATTCCTGAGACTCATTTAGGGGATGTCTCTAGGATTTTCTTATCCTCAGTTAGGATCCTTATTTTGGGACCGTCTTCTCTGATTTCTCATTCAGTGTACCCTATCCTGGGGGTCCACCAGCTTCCGAACCGGCCAACTGGTAGCCGTGTTCCTGAGATTTTTCTGGTCCAAAGACCCTGATCAGTTCTTACTGGGCTTTCATTACGCCCTTCCCCCAGGTTCTCCAGTGGCTTTGAGCTTGGGGGAGTTGGGGCTGTGTGGAAGATAGAGGCCCCAGCGCGGGCCCTTCTAGTCTTGTGCACCATCTGATAGGCAAAGAAGAGGTGGAACGGGCCGGGAGCCACAGCTTAGGAACTGGCTGGAGAAGGCAGATAATGGTGTCAGAATGAATCCGCCTTAAGAACCCGGGCCTTTCCCCAACCCTTGGCCAAGCTTACTGACGCCTACCCCCCCCACCCCCTCCTGATCTCCAGATCCCAGGGTTTTCCAGAGTTGAAGAATGACACGTTCCTGCGAGCAGCCTGGGGAGAAGACACAGACTACACTCCCGTTTGGTGCATGCGCCAGGCAGGCCGCTATTTACCAGGTCAGGGTCAGGGCCCCGGAATCCAAGTGAAACTCTAGAGAATTAAAAGATTTTGAGGGGCAGGGGAGAGATCCAGAGGTTCCTCAGGGTTGGGCCCTGCTTTCCCTCTTCTGTCTGCAGAGTTTAGGGAAACTCGGGCTGCCCAGGACTTTTTCAGCACCTGTCGCTCCCCAGAGGCCTGCTGTGAACTGACTTTGCAGGTGAGGCCTCTATGAAAAAGGGAGGTAGGTATTTATGCCCTCAGCTTGCCTCCTAGTAACCTGTCTTCTATTCCCTACAGCCACTGCGTCGCTTCCCTCTGGATGCTGCCATCATCTTCTCTGACATCCTTGTTGTACCCCAGGTACCCGTTCAAACCTGATGGGTAAGAAAGAGTAAAGATAGTCAAGGCTCAAGATAAGCACTTATCTTTATTGGACAGAGGGAAAAACTTGGGCTGAAAGAGATGGAGTTTCACCAAGTTTCATTCTCCTTTTCTTCCTTCTTGGCATGGGCTGAACAGAGCCTTTCCTCCTAGAGTTATAGGTAGGAAATCCAGGTATTTTCTTCCTTGCCAGGCACTGGGCATGGAGGTGACTATGGTGCCTGGCAAAGGGCCCAGCTTCCCAGAGCCATTAAGAGAAGAACGGGACTTAGAACGTCTCCGGGATCCAGCAACAGTGACCTCCGAGCTGGGCTATGTGTTCCAGGCCATCACCCTTACCCGACAACAGCTGGCTGGGCGTGTGCCGCTGATTGGCTTTGCTGGTGCCCCGGTAATGTGGAGCAAGGCAGGGACTTGGGGATGGGGAAATCATTCTGGTGGGTCTGGCGTAGACAAGGGAAGTAAGTATCAGTCTGGCTTCTATGCCTACGACATTCTCTTTGATTCCTTTTGCAGTGGACTCTGATGACCTACATGATTGAGGGTGGCGGCTCAAGCACCATGGCTCAGGCCAAACGTTGGCTTTACCAGAAACCACAGGCTAGTCACCAGCTGCTTCGCATCCTCACTGATGCTCTGGTCCCATATCTGGTGGGACAAGTGGCTGCTGGTGCCCAGGTGGGTCCTGAGGGAGAGGAATAGGCTTGGGGTCTAGAAGAATGAGAAGCAGTATGGTTCCCTACACCTGAGAGGGTAGGTGTCATAATGCCCAGCAGGAAAGAAGCTTGGCCTATGATGATCTGACTGGAGCACCTAGGTCCAAACTTGTCATTGACATTCGCAGTGCTATATGCATTCAAAGACCAAAGCTAGCACTGGTATGTGGAGAAAGCAGAACTTTTTTAATGGAACTGGATTTACAGGCTTAGGCCGTATGAGGGTCTGAAGTTACTCAGGAGAAATTGAGACACGTTGTGTGTGTGGGGTCTGAGATACTTTGTGTGTTATGTATTTGTCTTTACCATCCCCTCCTCCCCTCCAACTGTAGGCATTGCAGCTCTTTGAGTCCCATGCAGGGCATCTTGGCCCACAGCTCTTCAGTAAGTTTGCACTGCCCTACATTCGTGATGTGGCCAAGCGGGTGAAGGCCAGGCTGCAGGAGGCAGGCCTGGCACCAGTGCCCATGGTAAGGATGGGGATGGAGTAAGTGAAGGTGGGCCTGTGGAACATTCAGGGACTGAAGTGACCACTGGAGGGCAGCAGAGGCGCAGCCAAGATAAGTTAGTGGGCAAAGGCAGGCCTTTTGTTGCCTCAGGAATCTGTCCTTTCCCTCAGATCATCTTTGCTAAAGATGGACATTTTGCCCTGGAAGAACTGGCCCACGCTGGCTACGAGGTGGTTGGGCTTGACTGGACAGTGGCCCCAAAGAAAGCCCGGTGAGTGATAGAGGATGAGGTGGAGAGGGAGCAGCTGCCACACGAGCAGTCACGAGGACATGGCACTGACTTTGCTTTCAGGGAACGCGTGGGGAAGACGGTGACCTTGCAGGGCAACCTGGACCCCTGTGCTCTGTATGCATCTAAGGTAACCAGGGTCCCTACGTGTGTGTGTATATACTCCCATGGCTGTGAACATGGTTGTATTACTGTGTGTGTCTTTATTGTATGTTTGTCCTGCTGTTCGTTTCATGTGAGCTCTAGGAAAGCAGGAATTTCTTTTTATAGTTGTCTGGCCCATACTAAGCATCCCGTAAACTGTTTTGAATTAATGACTGAATGAATAACACGGAGTAGAAGCATGCCTACGTGCTGTGTCATGGTTATGCATAGGGAGTACAGGGGCTTGCTGACTCCCCTGTAGCCAGTGCCCTGTTGGTCCTCCAGGAGGAGATTGGACGGCTGGTGCAGCAGATGCTGGATGACTTTGGGCCGCAGCGCTACATTGCCAACCTGGGGCATGGACTTTACCCTGACATGGACCCAGAACACGTGGGGGCCTTTGTGGATGCTGTGCATAGACACTCACGTCTGCTTCGACAGAATTGAGCACACACCTTTTCTCTCAGCTACCACTAACAAAGATGATTGATTGTTTCCAGGAGAATAAAAGTTCCAGAGGTGAAGTCTAACATTCGGTTTCATTTGTGGAAGATCTTTGCTCTTACCTCAGTTCCTTCTTAGCCTCTGCTTCTTCCCTGGGGCCCCTTTCTGCATCTTCTCCAAGTCTTAGGAGCTCAGATATCAGTGAATATGTACTGTAGGACCCAATGTCAGGGCCCTCACTACCCATTTTGCTCTCACCTCTCCAAGCCTGAGGGCTAGGCAGGGTTGGGTAAAGCTTCCTAGCAGCTGAAGCTGTGACATTTGCAAAGTAATGGGGTCCCCACAGCATATGAGGCCAAATTGACAGAGCTTTGTGTCTGGGGATGGAAGGGGGGGGTGTAGATCAGAGAGGGACACAGAAATTGCTAGAATATTTTAGAGAGTCCCCTTGAGGAAGATGGAATCTGTGTGAGCAGGGAGAAGCTGAGAGGACTTCAGCTTTGACACCAAAAGATGGTGGGGGCAGGGGGTGTTGACATAAAGACTGAGGGCTAGGATGCTTAGGAGTAGAGACAGACTTGCATCTTTGAGGGGAGAAGGCCTTTGAAGCCAAAAGGCCCTATTGCACTCAGGGTTGCTCTGCATTCTTTTCTGAGTATACCCTCCAATTTTCTCAGCACCTTGGTGTTTCTGCCCATCGTGGTGGTACCTACTTCCTGGGACAAGGTCTGAAGTGCCTGTGAGCTCTGGACAGGGGAGTGGTGTAGCAGGAAGTTCTTCATTTTCCATTCCACATCTCCTTAACCACTAGGGACCCACTGTACTAGAGGCGCAACCAATTCCTTGTCCCAGCCTAGGGCAATGCAGAAGAGAAAGAAGGGCCCCATTTATTGAGAGAACACAATTCTGATTTTAGAAAAATGATATTTTCTGTGATCCATGATTTATTCATAGAAAAGCACTGTGAGTTCACACACTTGCTAAAAAACGGCAATCGTGATACAGAAATGGGAGTGGCTTCTTTTTTCTTTCTTTCTAACCAACCTATTGGGCTGAGAGGTTGTTGGGGCCCATGGCTGGATAGTAAGACTTAAGTAGCCACAGACAGCAAAAACGACTTACTGGTTAGTGTGAAGGGGCGGAAAAAGTGACATTTTGTCAAAGAAAGGAACATAAAGCAGACAAGAGAGGTCCTTAGTTCACACTCTAGCTATACCACCCCTTCCCTATCACACCCCACCCCCCACTTCGGAACTAAAACATGAAACAGTAAACACCAAGACACTGGCATCCAGATGACTCTTCTGAAAGCCCATGCTACCTCCTATAACAATTCCAGGCTGAGCACAGGGGTCAGGAAGGTAGCAGGAATAGGATACACTGTGGAGGTCAGCTAGGGCTAAGACAGGCATTGCCTACTAGGGGTAGAAACTACTCAGGAAGGGAAAGGCCAAATGCATTCCAGCCCCAGGCTCCAAAACAGTGACCAGTGGGCAGGCAGAGGAAGCTTGAGGTAGAAAGGCAAGGGAAGAAAGCAAGTACAGGGCAAGAAGAGAACTGGAGCTGAAGGAGTCACTCTTAGGGCAGACGGAGACTAGTGCTTAGGAGCTTGCTGAGAAAGCGGTGAGTAAGGGAGGCAAAGAGATGGGGAACGTGTTCAGCGGGTGAGCGAGATGAGGAGGAATAGGGAAGAGAGATCTGGCAAAAAAAGAAGGGACACATTCATGCAGATTCTGAAACATAAATTAACACATACTTACATGTCAAAATATCCACAGTTACACATATAAAGACAGACCAAAGGAGAGCAAGCATACACACACACAAACATGTTCATACACATGCATCTGTGTGTGCCCCCCCACTGAACATGCATTGACAGGCACACACACACAGGTATGTATGCCTACATGTTCACAAATGTGTATACCCTCACACACAACTCACAGTCCAGCACACAGACATGTACTGACACCCAGACCCGACAGACACACATAAGTACATGTGCAAGACAGGTATGCACAGATCTATGCACAGAGACACACGTACTTAGCCATACAGATACATATACACACATACGTAGTTTGAGATAAAACCAGACACTCTCTAACACAAATGTGACCAGAGTAGATGAATGTTAATGAGCTCAGTGGCCTCCCAGACCTTCACCCTCCCCCTGCACTTACTTCTCAGGAGCTCAACAGGTTCTTAGAGAGGCTGTGTGTGGCAGGAGTGAGAGCTTCACTGTCCTTGTGGCTTCATGAGGCAAGAGTCTAAGTCCAGTCCTGGCCCTGGCCCTCTCCCACCACTGGGCTATATAGATGCCCTGTGTCTGCAGGCTGGGGTTTCTGCATAGACTAGACCCGGGATTTATTCTAACCGGTCGTTGTATTCCCCACCACCCCCACTCTTCCACTGCAAACTATATATATTCTGCAAGGGAAACCTGAGAAATGGTTGTGTCTCCTCAGAAAACAAGCCTATCTTCCCACCCACAGCTACTTCAAGTACCCATCAAATTAGAACCAGGATTATAAATAGTTACAACTTTACAGTGTAATTGGCAACACATATACTATAGTATTTACAGTACCATAAATGCTTCTGTTTCTCTGGTTAAGCGATCCCTGAGACGGAACAGTGTTCTGTGTTTGCCAAGGGAGAGCGGGCCAATGCCCAGGACACGCAGGATATAAGGGCGTGAGGTGGCATGTTGTGGGGTTTCTGATCAATCTACAGGGCCCAGCTCCTTCAGGAACAGTGGGCTGTAGTGAGAACTTTGCCAAGGAAGGCATATTGGCTAGAGTTGGACTCTCCCATGCTTAGCCCTGTGGTGCTTTGGCTTCAGCCACAGGCGCTCAGAGTCCTCTCAGGGTGGACGAATGTTTCAGTGTCCTTGGCCTGACCTGTGGTACCTGGGAGCCCAGGCTGCCCCGGCAGTGAGTTGTTTGCTTTCTCAGCCAAACCGCTCTCGAACCAGCAGCATCAGCTTCTTCTTGCCCTTGTAGATTTGTTTGAGGTTGTCGATGAACTGGGCAAACTGCAGGTGGCCGTCCTGGGGCAGCAGGAAGGTCTCCCGAGCCTTGCTCAGAAACTCGATGAACTCTCCGTAGTGGCGAGGGCTGATGTGTGTCAGGCGTGAGTGTGTAGTGTTGATATAGGCATTGATGGTGGCATCCAGCAACTGGCGCAGCGGAGCTTTGTCCGTGGACATGAGCTTTCCAGAGCTGCGGCGGCCTGGGATGCCCGCCAGGCCGGGGGCCGTCACTGTACAGCGCCGCAAGATGTCTGAAAGCACCGTGGCGCAGTGCACGCTCTTCACCACCAGGGGGATGAGGGCTGCCAGCTCGTTCTTGCCCAGAGAGTGGCTGAGGGCACACGCCCAGAGCACATCATTGATGGCTGGATGGGTATCCTGGTTGTAGGCCAGGTTGAGATGGCTCATGGCCAGGGAGGCCAACTTGAAGGCACGTAGCGGGTAGCCACGGAGCTCCATGTAGCGGGCAATGGTGAACAGTTGTGAATGTGTCATGCCGCCGGTGGCAGCATCAATGGCGATCTGATAGGCTGCCTCAAAGGCAATGTGGTCTTTCTCACAGAGTGTAAGGGCTGACAGGGCACAGCTCTGGGGATCCTTCATGGCACACTGTAGGGCCAGCGTGCGAGCACAGCTAGCCAGCTCCTCCCGCTGTGGATAGTCAAGACTGAGGCGCAGGATAGTGGTGTGGGATACAGCTGTGGCAGCCACAATGCTAGTAGCCTCGGTGGGGGTGAAGAGTGTGTACCAGCTCTGCAAAATGCTCACCAGGGCCCGCACACCTGTCAGGGAGAGCCTGAGCTCAGCCGTGGCCATCTGGGTCCCGATCCAGGTCTGCCCAGATGACCCTTTGTGGGTCAGAACTTGGCCTGCAGAGATGAGTTCTCCCTCCTCCTCAGCAGCCTTAAGATGATCTGAGGCAAACCAAGGAGCATCCCAGATGGCCAGACCCTGTTTGGGGTCTCTCCCTTCCCCTTCCTTCCCCAAGTTAGAGGGTCGAAGATTTCTGCAGGTGCTCTTAGCCCCTCACAAGGATGGAGCAGCAGAGCCTGTGGTAGTCATAGAGCTGCCTGGGGGTTCTAACTGAAGTGGGACCTCTTAGGGTAGAGTCTCATGCTGGGACTTTGGGTTTTAGTTGGGGTCCTGAGACTCCAAGTTGCTTGGGGTTTTTTTAGAAGCACAGGCAGGGACTGGGGCCAAACCACTGGGCCAACTACCTCCCAAGGGTGCACTTGTATACTGGTGGCTGAAAATTCAATCTCTCAAATGTGTCTCTGATTGGAGGGTCAAAGTGCTGCTGACATCAGGGTATGGTCCGAGCAGTGAGGGCAGAGCTTGGGCTAGGTAAATAAAGGCCATCTTTCCCATCAGCAGCCCCATGCTTTCCCAGGCCATCAGTAAAAGGAATATGAGAGCTTTAAGGATTCACTGTCTTGTTCCAAGAGTAGGGCCTAAGAACTCCTTTCCCTGGGGATTAGAGGGAAGTGGGAGACTCACCCACTTCTGTAGCACATGTCACCAACCACCGCACCATCTCCCGGCGCCTCCAGTTAAGAGTTGATAAGGTCATCCTCATCACCTGAGCAAAAAAGAGGCATTTCCACTTGGCTAAGCGTAACTGTTGGACTTCTACATCCCCACATCCCCTTACCATCCATTTATGCAACAAGTGTCTATTAAGCAGCCATCTCTGATAAGTACAGACAGGTTTGTTTAATTTCTGCCCACCCCTCCCACCAATCAGATAGAAGATTTCTCTGATGACCTGTAATGAAGTCCTTACTGTCACACCTTATTATTGACTTGACTTGGGAGGAATGGGGAGGGGTGGAGAGAAAATGGGGTACCGATGGAGCCTAAAGCTACATTGCTTCTGGCCTTAACTTCAAAATGGAGCTCAATTTGGAGATCCTTACCTAGAAGCCTAGTTGAAAAGTTGTGTTCTGGGGACACAGAAAGAACTGGGCTTAGCTGGTTCATGCCCAGTGCCTCTGGGATCTTATCTTCTACCAATAATCACTACGCCAGAAGCCTAAAGCAGGGATAACC